GCATGATGGACTCCCAAAGCAGCAGTCTCATGATGAGGTATTTCTGAACTCTGTAATGGTCTAGTCATGAATTATGTAGTTGGTATAATCGTTATCCTTCCACCTGGATTACTCTTCCTACCAATTTTCTCCGTTCATTTGTTGGTGATTTGAAGTCTCGCCGAATCTTCTTATTTACTGCCCTGAATGGTACATCATGTGCAGAAAAAGATTTTTAAAAATATATATAAAAAAAAGCTTTCAATTCCTCTCTCTCTCTCTCTCTCTCTCTCTCTCTCTCTCTCTCTCTCTCTCTCTCTCTCTCTCTCTCTCTCTCTCTCTCTCTCTCTCTCTCTCTCTCTCTCTCTCTCTCTCTCTCTCTCTCTCTCTCTCTCTCTCTCTCTCTCTCTCTCTCTCTCTCTCTCTCTCTCTCTCTCTCTCTCTCTCTCTCTCTCTCTCTCTCTCTCTCTCTCTCTCTCTCTCTCTCTCTCTCTCTCTCTCTCTCTCTCTCTCTCTCTCTCTCTCTCTCTCTCTCTCTCTCTCTCTCTCTCTCTCTCTCTCTCTCTCTCTCTCTCTCTCTCTCTCTCTCTCTCTCTCTCTCTCTCTCTCTCTCTCTCTCTCTCTCTCTCTCTCTCTCTCTCTCTCTCTCTCTCTCTCTCTCTCTCTCTCTCTCTCTCTCTCTCTCTCTCTCTCTCTCTCTCTCTCTCTCTCTCTCTCTCTCTCTCTCTCTCTCTCTCTCTCTCTCTCTCTCTCTCTCTCTCTCTCTCTCTCTCTCTCTCTCTCTCTCTCTCTCTCTCTCTCTCTCTCTCTCTCTCTCTCTCTCTCTCTCTCTCTCTCTCTCTCTCTCTCTCTCTCTCTCTCTCTCTCTCTCTCTCTCTCTCTCTCTCTCTCTCTCTCTCTCTCTCTCTCTCTCTCTCTCTCTCTCTCTCTCTCTCTCTCTCTCTCTCTCTCTCTCTCTCTCTCTCTCTCTCTCTCTCTCTCTCTCTCTCTCTCTCTCTCTCTCTCTCTCTCTCTCTCTCTCTCTCTCTCTCTCTCTCTCTCTCTCTCTCTCTCTCTCTCTCTCTCTCTCTCTCTCTCTCTCTCTCTCTCTCTCTCTCTCTCTCTCTCTCTCTCTCTCTCTCTCTCTCTCTCTCTCTCTCTCTCTCTCTCTCTCTCTCTCTCTCTCTCTCTCTCTCTATATATATATATATATATTTTAAAATTAACTTCTTGGAACCAAATCAAGCTGGTGCGCCTCTATATACTTATTTTTTGGGTGTGTATTGTAGAGTCTCTTAGGAGCTTTTGAGATGGATGTTTTGCCGTCCTTTCCTTCATTTTGTGCATCTCCTCCCATTATATTTTATGTTAAAAGAATAAACTTCCTGTAGCAATAAATGATGAAGCAGGTGCTGATCATCTGCTTATTGTTCACTTACCCATGATGTTTCTTGGCTATATTTTATATCTTATGGGTTTAATTTTTATAAAAGCAGGATAGAGACAAGACCAAAACAAAAGAGGAATTGTTGGCTGAAGAAAGGGATTATAAACGTCGAAGAATGTCATACCGTGGGAAAAAGGCAAAGCGATCAACTTTACAGGTAAGCAAGCAGCTTGTTCAATTTTACGTCAGCCGTTGTTTTTGTTGTCTCTCGACTCTATTGGCTATTAGCCTAGGGTCTAACTGGGTATGGCATGATGATTCCTTTTCTTATAGCCTTTTATGGAAAATTGACAAAATTCTTAATTAAATGATAATGCTTATCAAGAACATTTGGGGGTAATATCTTCTTAGGCGTACATTGGTCACTTTTTAGAATATTATTCACAACTTTCAAGCTACTAAGATTGCAGCAAAAATGGCCGAATTATGGAAGAGGTGAATCTGCAATGCTAAATAGACCATGAAACTATGTGATACCCATTATGTATTTTCGGTTCCTGAAATATGTTTTCTGACATCTGTTTTCCAACTTTTTCTATCAAACGTTTTTATGTTAGATGATATCCACACTCATGCTCTTACTAATTTTACCTTTCATGGAAGGTTACAAGAGATATTATTGAAGAATATATGGACGAAATTATGAAAGCTGGAGGGATTGGTTACTTTGTGAAGGGAACTGAAGAGAGAGGGATAAAATCTGAACAACCAACTGATCATTACATTACAAGAGATAGTATTGCTGATGGGCACACAAAAGGAAGCAACAGCTCATATGGAGAAACTAGGCATCATATCTCAAGTCATTCCCGGAAGCAGTCTAACTATGATAACAGATATTCAGCATCCGAAAAGCCCCCAAAAGGTAGGTATGGGCACTATGGCTCTCCAGAAGATGAAAGGAAAAGTGTCGGTATAGACAAATATGATCGAGAACACTATCATAGATTCTCAGATCGAAGCAGTAGTCCTAGCCAGTCACACAAATGGAAGAGATATCCAAGTGATCGAGATGATGAGAAGCCAGCAGAAACCAGGCATCATAAATCTCGAGGACTGTCTTCTAGCAGCTCTAATTATCATGGTTTTAGATCATCTTCATCCTCAAGATCGGGGGGTGATTCTAGTGCAAGGAAGGATGGTCACAAGTTAAGAGCTAGTGATAGTTGGAAAAGGAACACAGCTGATAATCATAGTTCAGATTCTTCGGTGCTTAATCCATTTAATGATAGATATACCCCTTCCAAGTGTCATGACCAATTAGAAGATGATCACTCCACTGGCAGAAGATATGTAAATCCAGACGAACTCTAGTTTGCTGATCCTCAAATGCGGGGCTGTCCCGCAAATTGTGCCATACTTTTTAACATTACCAATGTCTACCTTGTGGTAAGTCTTTCTTTCATGCTACATCCCATGTGCCTTTAACTGTGACTTCTATGACTTTTTTTTTTTAACATGTTTTATTCACACAACCTTGCAGCATATGGGCTTCAGATATTTTATCCTCACGTGTATCCTTCATAGTATCCTTGAAGTTTATCCCATTTGCTTATACATTAAATGTTGGAAAACTTATTCTTTCCTTGTTTTTTTTTTTTTTTGTCCCCTTTAGCAGGGATATTTGCCTTGAATGTTGCAGTAGCATAATTTGAACTCATCGTCACTATATCAAAAAATGCCAATTTTACATCATCCTTTTCTGTTCTGGGGTTTTCTAATATTTCTGGACTATTCACAATGACAGATAAACAAAGCGGTTTTATTGGCGTGGATTTTCCATGTCATACGATTGTTTCTTTCTGTCCTCACTTGCTATGGTTTCTACTACTCTGGGAAATGTTTTGGTGTTGCATAACTTGTCCTTTTCCTGTTATCTTCAGTCATGATTGGTATCGGTCGTTTAAAGTCTTACAACGAATAATTAAAAAAAAATATCATTGAGTAGACCAAAGTTGTTCCCAGTTGAAGAATTCAAGAAACTGAGATGAGGAAGTATGAGCGTGGTAGAGTTTCAATATGCATGTTGATGATTTCACTTCAAAAACTTACATGTAGGTCATTATAGAACGGTACAGATCATTAATCTAGCATCTTAACAAACCTTTTACAGTACTACACTGCTTGAGTCCAACCTTATTATTGATCTTATATTAGTTCTAACTATTGTATTACTTTTAGTGTTCTACCAACAGCTCACAAGATCAGTGAAGTATGAAGGCAGTCTGCAAATAAACTTGATCAGAAACCACAATCCAGAGTTTCAGATCGTCGGTTGCAGGCCGTTCCATCCTACATCATACTGATAATTAGCTTCTTATCAGGTATAGAAGGTATGAATTCTGACTCCCTGGTATGTTTTTCTCCTTTTGGGCAGCCCATGTGAATATTAGATACATGTACATCGTTGGAAAAGTTGAAAAGATATGTGAAGCGTTTGGGGGAAAGGGATATGCAGAAATCTCTTACCAAGAAGATAGCTTAGGACTTTGTATAGGTAGGTATGAAATAGTTAGCAGGTAAAGTAGGTAGTTTCTTCCATCTACTTACAAGTAGGAATTCATTGTGTAATGACCTCTATTATCTTCATTATTTTTGTAGTATTTTAGTATAGTGATGTGTTGTATATACGAAGTGTGAATGTCTCAATTTCATACAAATGTCTTTGGAAATATTGTTAAAATCTGGATGTTGATAGATATTTTTGGAAAATTTATGAGAAGTAGAAAAAGAAAATCATAGAACATTAACTATGCAGTATTTCAATGAAGGATGATGAAATTGAATCTCCAATTGTAAATTGCAATGACTTGATTCACTTTTAATTTTCAATGAATTGAATATGTGCAATTTAGTATAGAACAATATGGTTTGATTACATTAAAATACATTTTAAATGAGTTGTCGACAAACTATTGATATATTAGATGTACTTGGAAGTTATATTTAGAAATAAACTACTTATATATTAATGACATACTTGAAGTTATATTAATAGTTATATTGATATATCAATATTATAAATAAATGTTGATATACTCGTTGGGCTTGAAATTACACTTAGAACGAGTATTAACGTATTAGTGATACACTAATAATATATTTGAAATTGTGATGCATATAAGTATTGAAACACCAATGTTATCTTTTAAATAAATTTTGAAAGAGCGTTTATAAACTACCAATACATCAATAGTAGTTTATATACTTATGATACATTAACAAAATATACTTAAAATGTATTTTCAATAAGTAATATACTATCGATCCAAAATAATGTTGGTGTTTCGATGGTATATTAATACTCATTCAAGATTCAAATAAAATTTGAATGAGTATTAATATACTATCAATACACTAATGTTATTATTGAAATTTCATGATTTCTCAACATTTTGGTTACCAAGTTTGGATGGGCGTTAAGAGCGCATGGAGGTGAGTTAGACATGTTTAGTTCAATTTAAACACGTTTTTTTTAGCGTCCACATATAATAAAAAGCGTATGAAAGCATGTTGATTGATAAATTTAGTTTATTATTGGTATAATGTACAACCCGCTGTCCACATAGATTCGAGTGTAATATGGGCATAAAAATAAATGGAAACTTAAGAATAAATTTACTAAAATTCATTAAGAAAATAAAAATATACAAACAAGAGCTATTAAAAACTATTTAGAAAATAGTTTATATTTACAATCAAATACAAAATAATACTATTTACTATTTAACATTTACAACCAAATACAAAATAATGATTGGGGTAGTATTTGAGGTTATGGTTCGGGGTCCTACTCGTGTCACCTCGGTTTCTCCAATCTTACTTATGTCTAAAATTGACTCTAATGCACACTCTTCTTGGTGTGTTAGATGATGCCCTATCCTCTTCGATCATCATGACACTTATCTATTTCAGCCCTCATACGATCAAATGGGAGCTAGTTAACATGTGGGGTCACAACCTACTATTTTCATAGTATGTTTGCGACAGGTTGCACCAATTAGCAATTGTTTGGAGAGATGAGTGTCCAAAGAAGCTACATTGTCGATGTAAAGAGGTAATATTGGAAATAATAATCCTCCTTCGAATTAGTAAAATGACTAATGTAGCTACATGTATATCGGTCCATTCTCGCTGTATTGGAAACGTAAACATAATTGTCCATAACAAGTGGTATCGAAGTCATGCTTCTAAAAAAGTTGTAATCCTGATGACAGCCATAGTGAATCTATGGTTGAACTTTCGAACAAGTAATATGGTTCAAAGAGGAATAACACTAAAACTCGTCTAGTTAAAAAAGTAATAAGCTCAAGTTAAAATCGAAGGGATGACTATTTGAGGATACTTATGTCCAAAGTAGACAATATTATATCATTTTAGAGATATGTCAATGTGACACAGAAGTAAAAGAGGAGTACATGAATGAGTTGATTAAGCATATTTTACTTGGAGTAATTCTAAGTTGCATGACATGCTATAAATTTTCTTAGGATGCATATGGTGAGTGAGAACAAAACATGCTGAAAAGACTGGTGTTGATTGGTAGAAGTAGTCTACAAAATTGTTTGTCTCTAACAAACGATGAATAACTATTTTAGTTAAACTTAAAAAAAAAAAAATATAACAAATCCCTAGACTTAACAAAAAAAAAAAAAAAAAAAAAAA